CAGTTAAGAAACTAACATTTCCATGTAACAGCAGGTAACGGATTTGTTCTGACTTCTTGTGCAAATAACAAATACGTAAGTAATATACCAGATACATCCAACACACCTTATTGCTGAGAAACATATATTTATTACACAAAACTAACGTTTTCGGCCCAATTTATGGGCCATCTTCAGGTTACCGTTGTTCGACTCTAATACAAAATCCAACACGTTCAAAATTAAACCAAATTAGAACATACGTTTAAATTAAACCAATAGAATATGCATAACCAAACTAAAACAACAAATAACAAAAAACCAAAATAACACAAAAAAATGAAAAATAAAATACGGTGATTGGCCGCAAACACTAAGGAACAATTCCTTATACATCAACCCAGATATCTATTGAGTCACGGCAGACGCATTATTACGCGTGTTACTTCTTATTATGTATTTCCAGGATGACGGTAATACCGTCGCATCTTTATAATTTAAACATCTGTCAGCCAAACTCGCTCTGTAAATTTCGCATTTCTCAGTTATGGATGACAACGTTGGCGAGCGTACTTTTGTAAGAATTTTGGCATCCTCCCATTTAACAACCGAACCATCTGCTTGCGCCATTTTGGATAATGCTGTTGTACACTTGTTTTTTGCGACATCGTATCGGTGCTCCTTAATTCTCACCCTAAACTTTGCTTATTTCATCAAGAAGTGAGACAAAAGGCTGAGGAACAAAGTATATATATATATATATATTTTAACTCTTTCCGCCCTGTGGGCATTAAGAGGGCCTCTTTTTGCAAGCCCATTATGGGTTCGGCCAGGCCCACAATGGGGCTGCCGGGTGGTGAGGATGGGGCCTGACATATCCGAACGGACCACCCCCGAAAAATCCCTGGGGATTTTTCGACCATTCGGATTCGAGCCCGGGTCCCCCAGAGCGGTAGGCTGCCACCTTGACCGCTCGGCCATCCGGCCGCCGAACAAAGTATATCAGTATTCAGAAAGGACCCGAAGAGACCAGTTCGCAGGAAGGACTTTATTGCCGCGTTTTCTTGGGTGCTTAAAATGTGAAGCTCCGCTACTGATTGTAATGCTAATAACATACTAAATTTGAAGCATTATTTGTAAATATGTTACATAACAAAGTTCTCAAATTTAGTTTCGCTTTTAGATATGAAGCCGATTGCCGTCAACTAAATTTTATTAGGAAATATTACAAAAAAGTCGATTGACGACTAAATGTTTCCTATCAAGCGGAATATTTTCTCCATCTGCATGCTTGTTATTTATAATTACAAAACAAATACAGTAGAGAATTATTTGAATTTTCTCATAATTTCGACTTCGTAAATTTCCTCCTGGCAACACTAAACCTTCGAATAGTGTTACAGTACATTTTAGTCGTCTGCTGTCATTTGTGTATAGTGGTGAATGTTTGTTTAAGAAAATCCCAAACTTATTATTTATTTAACATGATTTTATGTCTCGGACCATCCGGATCAGGTAAGACTGTTTTATTAAAAACTTTGCAAGAGGATATATACAGTGATGTAGAAGAGCTTCCTTCAACGATTCCCACAGTTGGGACTAACATTATAAACGTTAAAACAAACAATAATAATTCAGTGACAGTTCACGAATTAGGAGGCGAAATGGCACCAATATGGGATAACCATTTGAATTCTTGTCAACATTTGTTGTATGTGATTGATATTAGCAACTTGCAACAAGTTAGTTGTGCTTGCATTTTGCTGTTGGAAATATTATCCAAGTTAGAGCTAGAAAATATGAATGTGTTAATTGTGTTGAATAAAACTGATGCTATGAACACACTGACAATGAATGAAATGAAAGGATTACTTAGGTTAGATGATATAAGTAAATATGCTAAACAGAGAATTGATGTCGTCGAAACGAGTTGTGTTTTGGGTGAAGGATTAGAATTTATAAGAGATTGGTTGAGTCAAGTAAATGTGTCTTAAACTGTCGACTTTATATATCGCAGTGGAGCACCCAGAGGGATGCGGAGGGCCCTTGCACCCTCCAAAGAAAAAGTAAAACAAACACTAGAAAATTTTCCGAAAACCTTTTCCTAATTAAAATTCATCTTTTATTTATACTGTCATATATTCTGTTTCTATACTACGTATGAATTAGTGGTCACGTGAGGTGGGAATTTTATTGAATTTGCATTAAAATTTTTTTATCCGTTTAACTCTGCTCCCCGAGATTAAATTCCAAGTGTGCCACTGATATATCATATATAGATAATTTTGTATATACACAGTGTAAATATGAAAAAGTAACACAGTTGAAAATTGAAATAATGACATTGCAGCATTATTTGTATTGTATTGTTGCCAATGATTATAATAATAAAATATCTTTAATATATTTCTTATTTATTTATATTAATAGTTTTATTATACTAATAAACACAATAAACACGTAAACCAATATAATGAATAATTACTTATACACATTAAGAATAAACAACATTAGAGTTAGAAATGTTAAATAAAATTATTCTGAAAATTTAACATTTATAAAATATAGTTAATTTTGATAAGTTTTAAAATTAAGTAGTTTTTTCTGATTTATATATAAAAATATTCTTTGTAAAATTTTTAATTATGTAAACAACAAAAGTCAAAAATATTTTATTTTTCATCATTCTCTAAATTTTGCAATATAAAATTAATATGAGATACAGTGGTGCCTCATATAACGTACTTAATCCGTTCCAGGTACACATCTGTTAAGTGAAAAGTCTGTTATACGAAATGCATTTTCCCATAGAAATACATGTTAAAACATATAATTCGTTCCACAGCATAAAATAACCGTACTGTACCATAAGAAAAAAATGAAAATGGAGCAGTCACCAATAATGTGGGTAGTCAGATGTTGTGAGGAGGAGATGGAGGAACACTTTCTTCACACATTCATACAGATACACTTTTTACACATTGCAGCAGGTCTCTTTTTATTGTTTTTTAATCGGAGTCAGATTCAGGAGAGGCTACCGGAGCTTGCAGGGTCAACTCCTCTTGTTCCATCTTTTGTTATTTGGCAGCTGTCTTCTTGAAAAACATGTCCAAGGTGGTCTGTTTCTCTCTCTTCTTCAACACCTGTCGGAAATGACGGGCAAGGGT